TTACCTTTGTGATCTCAGAGACAACCAAGGGCCATGACAAAAGCCTACATTATTTTGAGAGTCACTCCGCTGACCAACAACTCAAAGGGAGGTGCCCCACGCCCGGCATTGGGGCTTGTTACAGAGTCGATCTCTCTGATGGGGAAGCATTAACAGCACAAGCGGCACAGCTCCCTTCTAGCTGTGTGTGTATACACACGCTGATAGAGCTTACAACTGCCCTTCACATCATCACAGAACAAGCATATGGTTTACATTGATGTCAGGTTAAGGATGACATCAAGATGACCGGGGTGGATTGTAATTTTATCACTGACAGCCTCCCTAACCTTTTCAATGATGTTTGTTATTTTCAAACACACATGAATTAAAATAACTGACAATACACAAAAATACACATCATCCACAATTGTGGTGTATTTGGACCGCCTATTGACGTTTTATGCCCCCCCCCACTTTATCTGGTATTGTTGAAAAGAAGAAAAATTAAATCCTAGAAGGGATTCTTGTACCCTGTTGACTCAGTGTAGCAAAGATCAAATATTATTCTACGTGGGAATGAATCATTCAGCCACACCTTAACAATCGCAAGGACAGATGCTGCCTTGGTTGATAAAGAGCATATAAAAGAGATTGTTATCTTTCCTCATTCCCTATATTACTTTGAACATAATATTAAATGGCAAAGGTCTCCTCAAGAATGGCTATCACTGCTATTGGATTTTAAATAGCAAGTTGATCCTGATTGAACTTAAGATAATTCAAGGTTATGCTAAGTGACTCAATTCGAAATTTTAAATTTCTAAATTGGGGGGAAAAAACGGCTAAATTGTTCAGCAAAATCTTATTTTCTTTAGAATAATTGAGAAATATACTTAAAATAAATTCCTTTTTATGGAAATCCAACCTTGAAAGAAATCATTTTTCTCCTTTAAGTAAATCTAAAGAGCAATGATTTTGGTTTCACAGTGAATCCTATTATGTTTTGTTCTCAATTAACAAAAGTAAATGTGATCAATAAAAGCTGTCCAAAATGTTGTTTCCATAGAAAACGTGTCTCTTTCACAAGAGAAGCATAGCTTGTTGAAAAGTAATGCTGTCTTTTTCATTAGTTTGGCTCCGTGACATGAAGTCCTTGGCTATAGGCACATGATCTGGTTCTCCTGTTTTTGGTGTTCTACATGATAGACATATTTCTGTTGTGAAATCAGAAGTATCCAAGGAAACATTGCTTATTCAGGCCATATATTTATAGAACCGGCTCATTTTAATAAGCATAAGTTAAGAAAAAACAAGTATAGAATACACGACGGGGGCAGTAATTAACTTGGATTGCCAAAGTTGTTTATATTAAAAAAAAAGATTCACTTGAAATGTTCATGTAGTATCTGTTGATGCTTAAACTATATAGGAGAGAGTCCCAAAATGAGGATAATGAACACCAAGACAAAGACAAAGTTATAAGTAAGCAAAAACAAACTGACATTGTAATATAAGCTGATAATAAAATATTCATCTATGAGACAGTATGAAATTTAATCATTTTTTCTTTTGTGTTTTCATGTATGATGTGTGTGTGTGTGTGTGTGTGTGTGTGTGTGTGTGAGAGAGAGAGAGAGAGAGAGAGAGAGAGAGAACACATCTAGCCTTACCTTCCTCCTCCTTTGAAGGAAGGACCCCTCCATTGTCCATTGTTTTGTGTGCCGGCTAGCTGGACTGTGGGTGTCTGGGATTGCCATGTCTGCACCGCCCACCTTGGTCGAGGAACACTAGGAGAACACTGTCACAGTTGTCTTTTACATGTGTTCTGGGGATTTGAACTCGGGACCTCATGGTTGCTCAAGTGCTTAACCCACCAAGTCATCAACCTAGCCCCCAAAGGAAGTAAGAAATTCCAAATGTTGAAAACTATTCATTAAGGAAATTCCTCTCTACCCACTGAAAATTCAACTCTCCCAAAAAGTATTGCAGAAAATATTAAAAATTACAAAAACAAGAACTAGGCATTCAGGGAAAAATCATCTTCTCAGGCTTATGGTAAGACATTTAATATTTCCTGACTTCATTTGGAAACTGATCATTGAAAAAAAAAAAAAAACTAGACCCGAGCCTCCAGAATGGACAGGTGGGGGTGACAGGTGTGGTGGTTTGCATGAGAAATGTCCTACAGAGGCTCAGGTACCTAAACACTTGCCCCCCAGTTGGTGGTGCTTCCTTGGGGAGGGGGTGCAGCCTTGATTGAGGAAGCACATCTCTGGGGCAGGCTTTGAGAGCATCACCCCACTCCCAACTCTCTCTCTCTCTCTCTCTCTCTCTCTCTCTCCTCTCTCTGTCTCTCCCTCTCTCTCTCTCTCTCTTTTTTTTTCTCTCTCTCTGCTTGGTGTTTATAGTTAAAGTTGTGATCTCTCAGCTTCCTGCTCCAGCTGCCTGCTGCCTGGCTTCCCCCACCATAATGGACTCCCTCACGGGAGCCATGAGCCCAAATACAACCTTTCTTCCCTCAATTGCTTTCAGTAATGGTGTTTTACCACAGCAATAGAAAAGGAGCCAATACAAGGGGTTAGCAGTAACAAAGGCAGTTATTCTGGCCTCCAAAAACAATTCTAGAAAAATTAAAAACATGATGCCAATCAACTCAGGTCACCAGACACATTTTTTTATGTTGTTAGTAAAACAAAAATGAATTCTTTCCTTTTAGTTGCGTAGAAAAACATTTTTCTGGAGCTGACTCATTTTCTTAGACAAGGAGCATATTTCCAAAGAAAATAATTTGACAGGATATTGAGTTGTTAACCTACTTTGAGTAACAACTGTTAGCAAAGCCAGGGTACCCACAGACCTTGGTTTAAAGGAAAGGCAAAAACCATGTTTTAGATACTGTGTGGCTACAATGTAAAAATGTCCATGCATTTCTTGAATGCATGGATTAGCCAGTTGTCAAACCTCTGAGGTCAGAAGATGACATGAAAAAGAAGCATTGTATCTTTTAGTACTTAGGACCAGACAGGACTTCTGTGGGCCTGGTGTGAGGTACTTGTAGACTGGTGTAAAATCAGTGTCCCCTTGAGGGCCTAAGGCACAGAAGTCTTTCCAGCAGGAAGATGATTTGCAAAAACTTAAGATCAGCCCACATTACCCAGCTAAGCAGGACACCAATGAAAAATCTGTACATCTTCAACCTTCACAGATGAGAATACTCAGGCCCACTTGAGGCATCTGCATATTGGAGACAGCTCATTAGTCTCGTCCGCTAGAATAACACCCTACTCCTGTCTAAGGCTCCTTCAACCTCACATGCTGCTTCTTACAAGGGAGTTTAACTGTAATCTTCACTTAAAAAGAAATGACAAATCTCCCCTTTTAGTTCAATTTAAATTCTTTCTTTTAAATTATGGGTATCTCAGTGTGTGTGTGTGTGTGTGTGTGTGTGTGTGTGTGTGTGTGTGTGT